TTAATAGTGGTAAAGCACTGGGTAACCAATACTGGTAGTATTCATGAAGTGTTCTAACCATTACCTCCTAGACAAGAGAAGATCTCAGCACGAATTAATTTTGCAGTCCGACATAACGAACATAAACTGCGCAGTGGAGGCAATTACGAAAGATGTCATTACGTTTGGACTACTAAAGAATTAAATTTCTTGTTTATGGGTCCTTTATGTTCTAGGGAGTATCGTTCTACCCTGTGTCAGAATTTTATTTTTAAAGTTTTTTTTTTTCCTCTTGATGCCCAATTTCCTTTGGTTCACAGATTTAGTTTGGAGAACTGGAATTGCATTGCAAAGCTTTCTAATTCGACTGAATTTTTCTTGCATTGTCCCCTAAGGATTTTCATTTGCGTTTATTTTAAGAGGAACATTGAACATAATATTACATCGTAATGTGTTGTGTATTTTTCTCTCCAAATGAATGAATAATAGCCCAGTTAAATTAGACCTAGAAAACACCACACCTCGAACTAATTCCCAGAAACTGAAATAATTTTTTCACATTTATGGCATCTCAAATACGAATAATATGAGTGTGCGATGGTTTCTGATGTGAGCTAAGATTTTGAAAGTAAAAAAACTGCGAAATTATTGGAATTTTTTAAAAAAATTTATAACATCTTAATGATGAATCTTCCCCTAAATTTGTTTTCAATAAAATTAAAGAGCATTAAATTCCGCTTCGAATGGTATAATTAAATATTAAATTTGATTAAATGATTTGGTCAGACCCCCAACGAAATGAACGAATTTTTCACCTTCGGCAGAAAAAAATTTTACACTGTATATCAGGTTTCTACCGCCTGGATATCTTTCTTCTAGTAAGCTAGTAACTTTCTGGGTAAAAGGTTCGAATCCTGGTCACGCACCAACTGTTGTATCGGCTGCATCAGGCACACGTGGTATAGTGTAGTATACTCCAGGTTCACGGGTCATAAATGGAAATAATGACTAACATCTTCCGGATCACTTTTCTTTTATTTATGGGAACATCTAATTTAAGATACTATGATAGCTCAGGAAGCACTGGAACTACTCCATAAAATAACTCTTCAGCTTCGAAGATAACACGTGTCCCCTTCTCTACATGCTCTGCCGTTAATCTCCAAAAATCAATGTATAAAATTGGTAAATCTATTCAAATTACTAAATTCACATAAATGAGCAATTTCAGTCACACATAAATAATCAAAAATAGAGAACAAATTTTATCTCCTGAGCATGCAGAGAAGGAAAGCCAATCTTGAAGGTTCCCGCGCACGTACTTTGAGCACCAACACAAATCGAATGCTAGCGTCCATCCGGGGAACCGGCTTAGCAAAGCTCATGGTCGCAGTTAAAAAAAAAATAGACAAGGGACCGTCAAAAGCTGGAAATTAATTTCTCCTCTTTTTAATATTTTTTTTTAAAAAAACTATTTATGTTAAAAGTTAAATAATTATATATATGTATATATACATATATATAATATATATATGTATATATTAATATATTATATATANTCGGCTTAATGTCGCACATTTAGGTTTATATGATATACAATATTTGCGAAAAATATAATGTGTATAATATTATATCACCAGTCTGTGTAGGGGTCAGGGAAATGGCCTTGCATCAGAAAGCTTCTGGGTTCTAATCCCGGTCTAGGCATGCATGTTCTTTCATTCTCTGTGTTATCTGTTCTTACTGAAGCCCACGATGGTGCTCCTAAAAGAGTGGCCAGCAAATCTGCCCTAATACGCTTGAATTGACGAATGTTACCTCAGCTAAGCATCGGTAAAAAATATTATAGTGAAAATATCGTTTAAAAAATATTAAAAAATAAAAACTCACACCTGTTTGCCACACTAGCTTACTGTATTCCTTCTAAATCTGGTTTTGTTTTGCGTACTCATTGAATTCTTAGTATTTTAGTCAAGTTTTTTTTCAAATAAAATACCCTTTTGAAATGCAGATTTAAAGATATGCAACTAATACATTCGTGAATGAATGTGAAATTACGTACTAATTAATACAACTTGAAAATACATGAAACCTTTATATAAAATGAATGAAATGTTTAGATATCAGACTAAGATTTAATTTATATGCATTTCAATCATACTTGAAAATTAGATTTGAAACATATAATTTAAAGAATCACCTTAATACACGTTGTTTGGAGATAATAATTTTAAGACTTTTTTTTTTACTTTTATTTCCAATGGCAGAAATTGACAAGCTCTTAGCAAGAAGAATATATGCAAATGAAGTAGATAAGAGAAAAAAGTTGATGACTCATCAGCAGATGACTAGCACTCCAATATCTTTTCACTTCGGAGTCTCCGTGTACAACCCAACATCCCATTAAGTGCTTCCCATCCATTACTTCGAATTTCCTACTGAGTGGGCAATTCGGACTCGTAAAAATACCAATGCGTTGGAGGTGATGCGCAAGACAGTCATGACCAACCGCAAGTCCAAATTCTGCCGCAGCCTTTTCACGGGATCTGTCTGAAATGCCCCGCTCTAAAATGTTCCCTCAACGTTTCAGGGATATACGGGAAGAAAGGGACACTTTCCAATTTTTCCACATTAAATATTTTAAAACTTTATTCTCACAAAAACTCGTAAAATGTATAAAAAGCGTAAAATAAAGACAGCAAAGCAATCAGTGATAAAACGATAATCTGTTTCGAATAAATTTTGAAGCATCATTAAAACTAAAACATAGCTCTAAAATATGTTACCTTCCTTAATTAATAACCATAATTAAAGCAAAAATATAGCTCAGTATGTTTATTTAATTATTTTATTATTTATGAACTTTTAATTTTTACCCAACTTATAACTCAGTATATTTCAGCTCCTTGTTGCCCGCGCGAGATGAGGTACTTCGATCAAACTGTCTGAAATCTTAATTTTTTGAAAAATTTAGACAAGTCTGATAAGTTGATTAAAATAGATAAGGTGTTGGAGTTTTATAGCTCCGAAACAAAAACAAGCAACATCCTGTGTCAATCTTATTTATTAGAGAAAATTTGCATAGCGTTTGTCTTAAGTTACCTTAAACAATACATTACACTTTAAAGATCAAACAGTGTTAACGCGGAAGCTATTCTAAAAGTATCCCTATGAAAAAAGCAAAATTATTTTCCAAGAAATACAATCATTTGACAATAATATAAGAATTTTTATTACTATTGTTTTTTCACTAAAAAGGATCAATATGACTCATCTTTCTGTAGTTTTTAAAAATGACACTCCATGCAATTAAAAATTACTTCAAAAATATAAACTATAACTTTGACTACACAAATAAATCGGTTGTAAAACTATTATATTGCAATATTGTTGTCTGATATATATATATATATATATATATCCGTAAAGGAAGTCTGTTATTGAGCTCCTTGAACTTTGATATTTAGGAAGTAGGCTTGAAGCAGCAAAATGACAAAATAATCAAAGAGATCTGAAATCCTGGGGCACTTTCAAAATAAGCGTAATTGTCTTCTAGTCAGCGAAATCAAACTAAGTAAGCAAATCAAACTCTAAGTTTCAATACTCGTTGTGGAGTAATTGTTTACTATTTACCTATGAATCGTATGTTATTCGAAGAAGGGTACTTATAATATTTTGAAGGAAAAATGCTTCCAACTATTCTTTAAGTTTAGTTGCATACTTTAATAGTGCCAAATAATTAAATTTGTAGAAAAAAGGAAATGTTCTGAACGATTTCTTTTAACTAAGTCAATTTTTGAACTTGTGAAATCTTTAAATGAAAATGAAAATATTATTAAATAGTAGAAGTGGAAGAGCTCATTGCTTAATGGAGAAAAAAAGATACACAATGAAGGGATATATATGAAGACCCTACAAGACAATACAAAACAATAAATACTCAAGAATTACAACACAATAAAAGGATGAAATTGAAATAAAGAAAAATAATTACGAAAATGTTAAGTTTTATTAGCTGCGCATAAGCTACGAGTATATAAAACCCATGTAATAAGACAAAGAATATAGAATATAGAAGTTATATAGAACCCATGTAATATGCAAAGAAAATAAGCAAAAAATAAAAAGGAAAAGCACTACCAAAAATGACAAATGTGCTTTAAAATTTCTTTCAAATTTATAAAAATAAATAAATAAATAAAATGCAAATTAACAAAAAGATATAAATTCGTCTCAATTATATCTGAAAATAAGAGTGATTTCTAATATTGTTTTATTTTCTGTATTATTACCTTTTATATGAATGTTTTGCTTTCATAGTGATGATTTTTATGGCCACCTATTTATCACCTATATATCAAACTTAATTCAGAAAGAAAAATTTTCATTATTTTAAAATTGCCAAAAATTTGGTTTTTAGTGATGATTACCATGGTTACCTCTATTGCTTGAGGATAGTATTTATAATATTACAAGATTAGCTTAATAAAGCCATTAACATTACGAACAATATTATTAGTCTTTTAAACTTCGTTATTAAAGATTAAAAACTTAATACTAGCCAGAGATATGATTACAGAACATAAAAAAACGAGTAATTTGCAGCGAATAATACGATGATGATTTTTCTTAAATTTTATATAAACAATAGAGCATTAGCGCGCTCTATCTCCTTTTTTTATATATTTAGAGCTATGTTTCCTTGTCAAATACCAATATGGAAGAGCTTTTTTGTTAATTTTCATATATTATTCAAAAAATTCTTCTATTAATAAAGTTTAAGGAGTGGTGTTATTACCATCATTGAAATGCAATTTGTTGTTGTTCAAATTATGGAAGGTAGTATTCATTTCCAGTATACCCAGTTTTTAAATTTCAGAAAAAATTAAAAAAATAGTTTCACAAATATAGCTCCAATGATAGTCCTGCTTGCAAATTATAGTACTTTATCTAGTTTTCATATATTTTTACTAATTTATCTGTACGAGTATCTCTCTTGTAGGCCAGCTAAGAGACTAAAATAAAAATCAAGTAGTTAATTTTTATTGTGAATATATGACACTTTCGCACATTGGATTACTTCTACAACTAAATGCCAATGAATATTGCATAGCTTCCATATAGAATATTGAATAGATTATGATGAATAGCTAATTATGAAATGTCTTGCGTTTCATTTCAATTCTTCAGTCACAAGGTTACAGACTAAGTACTTCTGATGAAATTCTCAAGAAATTGTTTGAACTGTTTCCTATAAAATAAACGCATTATCACCTGTACATATAAAATCTCTACAGCAATCAGGAAATGCACCTAATCCGGGCTCTTTTATTACTGTACATCTATTTGGATCAAATTTACTGTTGCACCTGAAATAAAATTTAAAAAATACCGCATATAAATGTTAAATTCAAATCTTTAACTTGTCTATACTAAGTAGAATTATTTCTTCTTTTAAAGATTTTGTTAAATAAATTTATTAAGACAACTTTAAGGCACTAGAAATAACAAGTATACGAGATGAAATATTATCAATCTTAGAATGTTGACAAAATGCTTAAACAATCTGTTCTATGTACAATTTATTTTTATATACAATTTTAAGAATTCCATTCACAGTTTGATTTAATATTTCATATTCTAGGAAATGTTGAATGAATAAAATAAATGAGAAAATTAATATGTTTTAAAGTGGTCTTATAAAATTTAAAATATTATTAATGTTGTAAAATATTATTAATGAAAAATGACACAAATTGAAAGTTGCTTCAAATATAAAATAACGAAAACTCTAAAAACAATAAAATTGGAAGACTTGGATAAAATTGGATGGCAAGTTTGAAAAGTACCCTAAGCACAAATCTACAATAATATGCTCTAAAAACTATAATTTTGATGATTTGGGTAAAATTGGATGAAAAGTTTGAAAGGTGCCCTAAGCTCCAAGCTACAATAATATGCTCAAAAAGCTATAAAATTGGATGACGCTAGAAATTAAGAATAAAGTAAAAAAATGGTAAAAAGAAAATAAAGAAAAAAAATTGAACGGACACTAAAATATTTCGCGATCAGTAAAATTCATAAAACGATAAATCTATTTAGTACGTGTAATAAGCAAACATTTTTTTTATCTCTTGTATATTATAAAATATTTAAAACATTGTTATTTTTGAATTTTCACAATTTGAATTGACCATAAATTTAATTGATTATAATATGGAGATATGAATTCAGCTTGTAGTGGACAGGCAATGATTAAAAAGTAGTAGCATCCAGCATAGTGATCCAATGGGGAACTGAGGACACTAGTTAGTTGGAAAGTGACCAGAACTTTGATTGATGATAAATCCCATGTGACGCAGATAAGGAAATAAATTCTGCTGATTGTGGACAGGAAACGCTTTAAGCTTGCATCGTCTGTAGACCATGAATTTCAAATGAAGTTTGAGCTCTCTAGTTGGCTGAAAAGTTGTCGAAATTTTTTATCTTTTTTGTAATCCGAAGACAATTGAAACTTGCTTTGTCATCAGATATGAAACTGCACTAGAGAATTGATGTCTCTTGTATGTCGGAAAATGGAAATTTTTATTGAAGGGTCCAGATTTTACTGACACAAAAATGAACTACGATAAAAAAAAATTTCCTTTTTTTTATTGTAGAATATTATGTAACAAGAAAAATAGTATCTGACAGTCATAGACAATGATTTCACGAACAGTGATTAAATGATATTCCTCATTTATATCAATTACTAAAATATAACAGTATATACAAATGAATATATAAAAACATTATTTTCTTTAGTATAATTTTAAATCTCAAATATTATAAAGAGTTATAAGTAAGGGAAAAATAGTTCATGCTCTATTAAAAAAGAAAGATATAAAAGATTCTGTCTGAAAAAAAAGGAAGGAATAAAAAATATGCGGTGAGAAATAATAGAATACTGACCCGTACACATCAGCGTGTCCGACATCACAAACAGTAACCTCGCAACTTTCAAAGTTGTAAATCACTCTACCAACCGGAATTTTCCCAAATCTAAATGAATTGCAGAATCCTGAAAAATATAAATAGCAAATAGTTATAATAATAAACTGCAAAAAAAATTGTAATAATAGTTATAATAATAATGGTAGAAAAATCATCTAGAATTTATAGTACCCTTGCTAACACTTTCTCATTCTTTGTGCAATTAAATTTTCTTAGTTATCAGGTGCATCAGCTATCTACATATTACTCTTTAACTACACTAATATCAGCTATCTACATGCTTTGGGTATTTATTATATGCGGTATATGAGGTAATAAAGAAACGGATGTTCTACCTAGTTGTCCCCTTCTTTTAATGTAACAATAAAGGCTACCCATCACTCTCAGAAATAAAAGTCTCACTTTTGACGATTCAGCAATTCTTGAGCAGCACTTCTTTAATTTTGAGAATCATTTCGTCACGAAATCACTTTTTTTGTAACGAAACACGATGAACTCAAATGTACGACGAAAATGTTTCCTCAGTTCAAAACCTTTTCGTAGTGCGTTGTAGGATATAGTTAACTAGATTGATGAGACTAGAATAAAGAGGTAAGGTATACATTTTTTAGCATAATTTTTTTTTTATAAAAGCCGTATTGCAAAGGTTTAAAAGTCGAGTAATTAAAATTCAATTTCTCAGGAAGTCATCTACCGATTTCCTCAAAATTTTGTAATTCATTTTGTTAAATTAGTTCTTAGAAAATGATGTAACAAAATTATATACCTTACAAATCAAATTGTTTCAATAATTATTAATTAAACTAATAACAAATAATAAATATTTACTAAAATTTTTTTTTTCATGGAATCTTTGGACATACGAATTTTGTATTTCTGTGCAAAATATTTCAATTCCCTTAAAAAGTTCTCGAGATTTGGTGAAATAAGCTAAAAATGAAATTAACATCAGGTCTTAACTTTGGATAGCTCTTCTAACCAAACTATGCGGGACATATTATATTTCCCAGATAGCGGCTACCCCCTAAGCTTTGCGGGTAAAAAATCCAAATTTGTCGAAAAAATGGTATGTTTATTCAGAGAAAGTGAGTTTTTGTGTCTGATTTTGTAACTTAAAATATTGTCTTCCACTAATTAATTGACATATTTGAGGTCAACCCTTCGAACAATTAAGATTAAGTCGTAGAACGTGGTCATTAGATCAAAAGTTATTCAGGATAGTCTATTTTGTTTGCACGCTGTACGTTAACGACGGCTGATTTTACGATTATTGAATATAGAAAGTTTGAATACATGTTTATACATACCACTCTTTGTATCAAGAGGCATTGTAACGGTATAGCTTTTTACTTGCAGAACACACAGAAGAAACATCCAAAATTGAAGAATATGTTTGTAAAACATCTTTATTTTCTTAGTTTAATTCTCCTTTATCAGTATCAAAACTACAGAAAAATTTTAAGGAAGTAATATAATCAAAATTGATTTACAAAATTTTAAGAAGCAGCAATTATGTTTAGATTGTTCAATTAATATGCGTAAGAAATGCGTAAAGAAATATCAATTAAAAAGCAAAGAAACAAAACATTTAGCTATTAAAAAATTTATAAGAGATTTAAGAAGTTATTATTGCGTAATTTTAAATTCAAAGCATTCTGGGTGGAATTCTTAAGAAAAATATAAATATGAAAGTACGATATATGAAAAATATGATGTGAAAATTTTGCCATCATTTTCTTAAAATAAAAATCGAAAAATGAAAATCAGTCAGAAAAAATATAATTATAGCTTCAAATAACTATCACGTGTCATTGTTGATTTAGCATTATTATTATAAATATTTGAAAACTATTCAATTGGTATACCTAATGGAGAAAGTGGTTCCAATTGAAAAAAAATGTAATCACTATTAATTATTAGTTTTGAATTCTTTCTGGGAAATATTCTGATCTAGCTTATTACTAAATATTTTAAACACCTCGTTAATGAATATGATTATTTGGGGCAGTTATTTTCAGACTAAATTACCAAGAGGTTATTAGATAACTGAGTGGGTATTAGTTGATCAAATTTAGAAAAGTATATAGAAATTTATTGAATGCAAAAAAAAATAAGAAGCAAGAAATGCATTCACAAAAGTTTCGACACTCCCAATGATGACATTACAGATAATTAAAGAGCAGGTCGGCAATCCCCGTTTGACACTCTACGATTGATAGCTCTACATTTGATTTACCCTTACATTTTGATGGGTCCGAATTGACTCCGTAAGGCTTATACAATACTTTTAAAACTCCTCTTAATAAAAGATGATTCATAATTTTTAATCGCTTTTTCTGGAAGCCAAACCTGGTTTTTATAATCTAAAATAATTTAATATTTCTTTTTTGTTTATTTTTGTTTTAAAATTTGAAAAGGGAAAGATTTATTTTAGCAAGAATTGCAAACTTACGGAATACTATTTTTCGTACACTTATTAAAAACAGGAAGATTTTTTTTCTTCATATTTATGTAAGCATAGGTGCTATATGAAATCGAACATTTTAACCAATAGCAAAATATTTATTTCCAAATAGTCTGTAAATATAAAAAAAAATATGTTTTTCCCTAGCTTTTAGTTGTTCACCAAAAATAATCAATTAGTCACCTTCCACCCCATCGAACAAACTCAACTGTCAAAGGGGTGGAGATGAAGAAGGAAAATTCAAAATATGGTTTAAAGTTTCAATATTTAATTTTAACAAATACACTATTTCCAATGTAATAAAGCCATTCTTTTATTTTCCACATATTTCAAATGTATTGAGCTATGAAATAATAATGATTAAAAATTTGAAAAGTGCAAAATATATGAAGAAAACACAAATAAAAAATAGAACCTAAAATTCGAAATGGCGAGGGCAAAAACCTTTTAATGCTATCACACAATCTTTAATAAAAAGAAATTCGTAAATTATAAACGTTTACTTCAACCTTCTATTTTTCGAAGATGTTTTCAAGCAATTTTGAATTCGGAACACGAAACATTGTGCATTCTTATAATACTGCTTAAACTTGCAAACAGAAAAATGAAACTTTTCCGAAAAAGAGTCAAAATCACTTACCGAATATTAAGTAGCTCCATGTTGACATCGTAGTAATCATTCATACCATTTCAACTTTAGATCGGGAAGATAAAATAATAGATTATACAGCTGGCTTTCTGGAAATAATGTTTACAGATGTAAAGTGAACACAAAAATGCGTGGAAGCTAGAGTTTATGTTCTTTTCATGGCCAGTATCTTAATTTACTTGATAGCTGAGCAGCATCAAAGTTGTTTGTTCAAATAGTTTTATTGTAATCAATTTCAAGAACAACGCTTAAATAAGCCTTGATGGGATTCATAAAAAATAAAAGAAAACTTTTGGAACACTCTTCTTCCTTAACAAAAAAAAAGTGTTTCTTAGTTGGTTTAAAATTCTGTTGAATTTATTGAATCATCCATATTAACCAAAATCTAAAAGGATTAGTTTTAAAATTTTTTATCTAAGGTAAATGAAATTATTTTATTCTACTTACTATGGTTTGTGCTTAGGGCTCAAAAATTGTTTGATTGAGAATTGTTGGGAAGCGTAAAAATATAAATATACCGGACTTAAATTTCAGTGCCTAAAATTATTTGGACTGCGTATTGTGGGTGAGCTTGAATAAATTAAAAATATTCCGTATTTTAATCTTAGCGACAGAAAATCATTTATATTGTGGATTGTGTGTAGGCTTGAAAAAATATGTTCAAGATTTAATAAGTTAATGAAATATAGGCTATTTTTGAGTAATAAAGGCATTTTGAATAAAAAAGTATTGAAAGTGTAGTACTTCATGTTTGATAGTGATAATACATATAACTAATGCTTTGTTGTATGAACATTGGACATGTTGTGAAAAGAAAACTTAACATGAAGTTCTTAAAACAAAAATCAAAATAATACAAATATTAGGTTTTTGATGTATTTTTAGGATGGAAATTTTTAATTTAAATTAGTTTAAAGAAAAAAGCAGAAAAAACTGAAAAACAACTAAAATGAAAGAAAACAAACAAATTTTATTACGTAGATACATATTTCAAAGATAATGATAAAAATTACAAACTAAATATACATGTTTTCGTTATTCAGTTTTATTCGATCAAAGAATTATGTTAGTTTTAAAATAAAAAAAGTGTTTAAATTTACAATTCTGTGCTGAAAGTCGGGAATGGTTATTTTTTCTTAAAATAATTTCAGATAAATTCGAAAAAAATTACGACAAAAAATCTTTAAAGAACTAAATAACGAAAATAAAATCGATTTTTGTGAAATTTTTAAGCTTGGAAATTTCTGATTCTAAGGTAATCCTTTCACCAATAACAATAGTAGAGCATTTTTGAAACATCAGGAAATTTGAGTTTCATTGAAAACATTTAACAACGGGGAGAGAAAAAAATTCTGGTAAAATTTCAGTACTGTATGGAGAGGACGATTCTGGTGCGAATAAAAATAGTTCTAGTTGAAAAAGAGAACTACAATCTGCAGTATTTAACTCATTAATTTGGTATTTTTTTCATTCATATGGTAACGGTTTTCCGGAAATTCTGGTTTTCAAAATGATAGTTCTTTACCCCACATGTTGCAAAAAAATATGGAACCTGAAAAATAAATTTAACCGAATAAATGGTTTTTATACCATGCTCTAAGTCAACAAATTTTATCACATGCTGTAAAACCCTATTTTATTGCTAATTTTACCAAAATTATTACCAAAGCGCTTCGATAAAATTAACCAAGCATTTTAAAGCTCCCATAAAACCAGAAACACGGTAAATTTTACCATATTCTGGTAGTTTAGGCAATACCTTTTTTCTCAGATTTTAAATTTAATTTATTATTTTAAATTGAAAATTAATAAGATTCCTTAAAAATAAAGAGAAATTAAGAGATTATTTGTCGAATGAAACATTACATCAGCCTCTTATATGAAAATTCTAAGTTTTATTAGCTGCGCATAAGTTGCAATTACGTAGGAAAAAAGAAAAACATTATTTTGAAATTTGGTTTTTAGCGATGATTACCATGGAGTGTATCGATTGCTTGAGGATAGTATTTATAATATTGTAAGGTTAATTTAATAAAGCAGTTAGCATTACGAACGATATTATTAGTCTTTTACACTTTATTGAAAAAAATCGAAAACTTAATATTAGCGAAAGAATTATAGAAGATAAAAATAAAATGAGTTACTTGCAGCTGAATATTACGGTGATGTTTTTTTTTTTAATTTTACGTTAACAATTGCGCAATAGCGCTCTCTCTTTACCTTATTTGAAACTATGTTTCCTTGTCAAATACCAATATGGAAGAGCTCTTTTCAATTTTTATACATTTTTCAGAAAACTCCTCGATTAATAAAGTTTAAGGAGTGGTGTTATTACCATCACTGAAATGCAATTTGTTGTTGTTCAAATTATGGAAGGTAGCATTCATTTCCAGTATACCCAGTCTTAAAATTTTAGAAAAAAATAAGGACAAATTATTTTTACAAATATAACTCCAATAATAGTCCTATTTGCAAATAATAGTCCTTTATCTAGTTTTCTTATAATTTATTTGATTTATCTGTATGAGTATGTCTCTTGTAGGTGAGTTAAGAAAAAAAGAGAAAAATCATGAAGTAATATATTTTTATTTTGAATGTATGACACTTTCGCACATTGGAATACTTTAACAACTGAATGCGGATGAATATTGCATAGTTTCCATATGGAATATTGTATAGCTTATTATGAAATGTCTTGCGTTTCATTTCAATTCGTCAATCACATGGTTAGAGACTAAGTATTTCTGATGAGTTCTGAAAAAAAATTGTTTGAACTGCTTCCTATAACATAAATGCATTATCACCTGTACATATAAATTCTCTACAGCAATCAGGAAATAAACCTAATCCGGGCTCTTTTACTACTGTGCATCTATTTGGATCAAATTTACTGTTGCACCTGAAATAAAATTAAAAAGATACCACAAATGAAATGTTAAATTCAAAACTCTAACTTGTCTATACTAGGTAGAATTATTTCTTCTTTTGAAGATTTTGTAAGATAAATTTATTTGGAAAACTTCACAGGCATTTGTATAAACAACGTATACGAGGTGAAATGTTATAAATCTTAAAATTTTGACAGAATACTTAGACTATCTTTTCAGTTTACAATCTATTTTTATACTTACCTAAAAGAATTCAATTTCACAGTTTGATTTAATATTTCATATTCAAGGAAATGTTGAATGAATAAAAATAAATGATAAAATTAATATATTTCAAAGGGGTAATAAAAAATGATATGCGTTTCAAATTAAATTTCGCAACATTTTTTCACTGATTAATAGGATCATAAGTTTGAAAGTTGCCCGAAATATAAAATAATATGCTCTAAAAGCAATAAAATTGGATGACTTGGATAAAATTGGATGACAAGTTTGAAAAGTACCCTAAGCACAAATTTACAACAATATGCTCTAAAATCTATAAAATTCGTTGGCTTAGATCGAATTTGATAACAAGTTTGAAAGATGCCCTAAGCTCAAGGCTACAAAAATTTGCCCTAACCCCTATAAAATTGGAAGACGCTAGAAATTATGAATGACGCAAAATATGGAAAAAAAGAGAAAATAAGGGGGGGAAATGGAACGGGCACTATAAAATTTCGTGATCTATGAAATACATAAATTAAAAAAATGCATAAAGTGATTGAAAATATAAATCTGTTTAGTACACGTAATAAACAAATATTTTTTCATCTCTTGTACAATATGAAATATTTAAAACAGTGTTATTATTGAAGTTTCACAATTTGCCTTGACCATAAACTAATTTCGGCAATAATATGGTGATAGGAATTCAGCTTTCAGTGAACAGGCAGTGATTAAAAAGTAGTAGCAACCATCATAGTGATCCAGAGGAGATTTGAGGACACTAGTTAGTCGGAAAGTGGCCAGAGTTCTGATTAATGATAAATTCCATGTGGTGTAGATTAGGAAATAAATTCTGTTGGTTGTGTTCAGGAAACACTTTAAGCTTTCAGCTTTAAATCAAGTTTGATCTCTTTAATTTGCAAAAGAGTGGGGGAAATTTTTATTCCTTTTGCGATCAGAAAATAATTGAAACTTTCATTGTCATCAGATACAAAACTTCACTAGAGAATTGATGTCTCTTTTATGTCAAAAAGGGTCAAAATGTTCATTGAAGCGTTCAGACTGACACAAAAATGAACTATGATAAAAAATATTAATCTTTGTTTTGCAACAAGTCTAAATATGCAAAAATCAGAACATTCCTTATCTTAATATGAAGTAAAAAGAGAAATTTTTTTAAAATTACTATTACATAGGTAGAATATTATGTAATAAGGAAGAATAATATTTAACAGTCATAGACGATGATTTCATGAATAGACTATTCCTCATTTATATCAATTACTAAAATATAACAGTTCATGCATATGAATATATAAAAACATTATTTTCTTTGATACAGTTTTAAATCTCAAATATTATAAAAACTTATATATAAGGAAATAATAATTCATGCTCTAATAAAAAAGGAACGATCAAAAAGATTCCAAAAAAAATTACGGAATAAAAAATAAATAAAAAAAAGCAAACATGGAGAGGAATAGAAGAATACTGACCCATACAGATCCGCATGTCCAACATCACAAACAGTAATCTCGCAACTTTCAGGGTTGTAAATCACTTGACCAACTGGAATTTTCCCAAACCTAAATGAATTGCAGAATCCTGGAAAGCGTAAATAGCAAATAGTTATAATAATAAATAGCAAAAAGGCATTATAATAATAGATATAATAATATAGTTATGTTTCATTACTCTTGTATAACTAATAGAGCTTATACTACCCTACTAACACTTTCTCATTCCTTATGCATTTAAATGTACTTAATTATTAGGTGTATCAGCTTTCTATATGTTAGTACTTAACTACGCATGCATCAGCTATCAACATGTTACTACTTAACTACACGTGTATCAGCTATCTACATGCTTTGGGTATTTTGCATATGCGGAAATAAAGGAATGATTGTTCTAACTAGCTGGCCCATTTTTTTGTGGATCAACAAGAAACGCTACCCATCATTCTCAGAAATTAAACTCCCACTTTTAACGAGTCAGCATTCCTTGAGCAGTATTTTGTTAGCTTTAAGAATCATTTCGTCACAAAATCACGTGAATTTTATCGAAACGCGATGAACTCAAATGTATGATAAAAATGTTTCCCGAACTCGGAAACTCATCGCAGTGCATTGTGGGAGATCGTTATCTAAAATGATGAAATTAGAATGAAGACAAGACGAGCGGAACCAGAATGACAAAATATGTCTTTACTTTTAACGAAATTCGCTTCCTTGAAGAAATGATGATAGTTATTTCGCCACTTCGAAATGATCGCTCGGTACGGTTTCGTAAAAAATGAAGAACTTTTCGTGATATTTGAGTATCCACTTTCTACAGTGCTCCAAGTTGAGGTACCTCTGTAAACACAATACACAGAAAAATGCAATTGTGTGCAAAAAAAAAAAAGGAAAGAAAACTATTTGATCAATGGTTATTTTTATTACACACGAAAAAGATTTAAAAATAATTTTAAGTTGTTGTTGTTGTTGCTGTAGTACATTTACGTCGCACTAGAGCTGCACAATGGGCTATTGGCGACGGTCTGGAAAGCATCCCTGAGGATGATCCGAAGACATGCCATCACAATTTTGATCCTCTGCTGAGGGGATGGCACCGCGCTTCGATAGCCCAACGACCTGCACGCGAAGTCGAACACTTTACGGTAGCACAGTTTAACGAGGACCAGTACCGCACACCCTCGGTCCCTACGCAGACTGATCCAAGTGGGTCACCCACCCGCGCACTGACCGCAGCCAGTGTTGCTTGATTTCGGTGATCTGCTGGGAACCGTGTCTTAACGATTAGTCCACTGCGGGACAAAAATAATTTAAAAAAAAATATGTTTAGTTTAATTTCTTCATCAAAGTTTGTACCTTTTGAGATATACTGCCCTGAAGAAATTACAAAGAATTCAATACAGCAGGGGAATATGCGATATATAATGTGTTATAGAAGGAAATCAACAAGCAAACAGCATCAATAAAATGTCAAGTCTATCAAGTTCCTCAGTTTAAAAGATCTGAAGTCCTCAGCTTGAAGCCTCTTCGTAGTGTATTATGGGAGATAATTAACTTGAATGACAACACTAGAATAAAGACGAGACAATAGAAAATAAACTGACGAATTACGCTGACAGGTTTGCATACTGGTCAAGAAGTTTTTCGTTGTGTCGGTAAGATCCGGAGTTCGAATCCCTCTACTGGCATGGGTGCAATTTATCTACATATCTGTCCTTGTTTTGTCGCGCTATCTATATGGTTCCCACGTTGGAGTGCTTAGTAAAAGAGTTAGATACATTTTTCGGAAAAAAAAATCGAATGTTGAAATATATCTTTAATTTTAACAAAATTCGTTTCCTCGAAGAATTGATAGTAATTTCGTCACGTTGACGCTCGGAGTATATACCAGGAAATGAAAGAGTATATACCAAAAACGAAGAAAGTTTCGCGATTATCAAGTATCCATTTTTTACAGTGATTGACAAACGTTATCCATAGAATGTGTGACGGAAGAAAACGAATAAATAAATGATAAGTAATTTTACTTGTTAACAATCTATAACAATTGTCTTTCATTGCATAACAGTTCAAATTACAAATGTTTTTTGAAAAATCTTTCTTGAGAAATTAATTTTTTGAAAAAGCTTCTATATTGCTGTTATGATTTTTATATGGTAACATCCGGTTGCTTTCTTTTATTCCTTTTATTTTACTTATCCATTTTCTGTTACTCTTGTCAGCAAGTTAAGAACGATGTATTAAGATACAGATTTCATGAAAGATAAATTTCAGACCACAATGGATAAATAATCCTTACTTAAGGAAAAAAAGCAATAATTTTCACACAAATTGGAATTTCGAAAGACAAAATTCTCCGTTAAGTTTTTAATTAAAAATGGCCTTATCAGCACATCAAATTTCCCACTCGAAAATGTATGTCAACGGATAGTAGATTGCTCAACATTAAGTTAAACAATTGATAATTCGCAAACTAATAATCAAGTTTGAACTTTTTTTTTTTATTCGAACAAATTTATTTTACATTTTTCTTCAAGCTTTTCCTTAAATTTAAAGTTGCAAAATCTTATAGATTTTGTCCAAAAATTCAAAAAGTGAGAAAAAATTCTCAAAAAAGTAATTATAATTGCAATAACTTGAGAACAGAATGGAATTTCGAAAAAAATTCTGTGCTAAGATTATAAACAAACATGACGCTTTCAGCATGTTAAATTTTGGTTTCGTTGTTGCACTCCTGTAAAGCGACAAGTATGGTATTTTTTCCTAGAGTTAATAATAAGGTTTAACAGCTGAAAAATATCGAACTAATTATCAAACGCTATTTTTTTTATAATATTGTATTCCTTGTACATTTTTCTGAACACTTATTTTGTTTCAATTTTCTAAGTCAGATAGTATTTCTGCAAGAAAGCAAAATAACAGTGCACCAAAAAAGTCCACCCCCTCCAATTTTGATCTAATGATCGGATCTTCACGTTCTACGACTCAATCTTAATGGAGCGATGAGGTGGCCTCAAATATGCTAATCAATTAGTGCAGATATTATTTTAAGTTTCCAAATCAGACGCAAAACGTACTTTCTCTAAATAAATATGACTTTACTTCGACAAATTTGGATTTTTTACCCCCAAGGAGAGCAATTAGGAGAGCAATTCAAGGTTTGGATCCTTTAATGTTAATTTTATTTTTAGCGTATTTCGCCATATCTCGAGAACTTTATATTTTGCACTCTATTACAAAATTCGTTTATCCAAAGCTAATTCCATGCAAAAAGTAAATTTTACTTATTATTTATTATTTCTTTTTATTTTATTTAATAACAGTCAAAACATTTTTGGACTGTAAGGTATACACTTTTTTTTTTACATAAAAAAATCGCATAAAAGCCGTATTACAAAAGTTTAAAAGTCGTATATAAAATTCAATTTCCCTGGAAGTAGTCAACCGACTTCTCCAAATTTTGTATTTCATTTTGTGAAATTAAATACTTTAAAATTATGTAAAAAATTGTACACCTTGTAATTTAAAAATTTTTCGGTTATTGATAAATAAACTAATAAAACATACTAAATAATAAATTGTATCTTTTTGCATGAAATTATTATTAAACATACGAATTGCAAAATGTGCAAAAATGTTTCAATTCGCTTAAAAAAGTTCTCCAGATTTGGTGAAATACGATAAAAATGAAATTAACATTAGGGGTTCTTAACTTTGGATCGCTCTTCTGACCAAACTATGTGAACCATGTTATATTTCCGAGATTTGCGGTTAACCCCTTAACTTTGTGGGTAAAAAATTCCAAATTGGTCAACAAAAAAAATTTTGTATTTATTCAGAGAAAGTGCGTTTTTGTGACCGATTTTGTAACCTAAAATATCGTCTACACTAATTAATTGACATAGAGGTCAACCCTTCAAATAATTAAGATTGAGTCGTAGATCGTGATCATTAGATCAAAAGTTATTCAGGGTGGTCCATTTTGTTTGCGCGCTGTTCGTTAACGACTGTTGATCTTGCGATTATTGAACATAGAGAGTTTGAATACATGTTTATACATACCACTCTTTGTATCAAGAGGCATTGTAATGGTATAGCTTTTTACATTGGGAACACACAAGAGAAGCATCCAATATAGAAGAATATGTTTGTAAAACATCTTTATTTTCTTAGTTTAATTCTCCTTTATCAGTATCAAAACTATAGAAAAATTTTAAGGAAGCAATATGATCAAAATTGATTTATAAAACTTTGAAAGCAACAATTATGTTTATTTTGTTCAACTAATACAAAGAATGCGTAAAGAAATGTCATTTCAAAAGCAAAAAGCATTTAGTTATAAAAAAAACCTTATAAAAGGCTTAAAAATTATAATTGAATGATTTGAAATTCCAAACACTCAAAGTTAAATTCTTAAAAAAATATGAATATGTAAATGTGATATATGAAAAATATAATATAAAAATTTGGATAAAATTTTTAAAATTTGTTAAAATAAAAATCGATCAGAAAAAATATAGTTATAGCTTCAAATAACCATGACTTGTCATTGTTGATTTATTACATTTATTATTATTATTATAAATATTTGGAAACTATTAAATTGGTATACCTAATGGTAAAAGTGTTTTCAATCGAAAAAATTGTAATTGCTATTAATAATTAGTTTTGAATTCTTTCCTAGAAATACTCTGATCTAGCTTATTACTAAACATTTTAATCACCTCGTTATGGAATATAATTATTTGGCAGTTTTGAGGCAGTATTCTCACTAGAATAAGTAATATTAGAAGATCAAGTTTAAAAAATGAATAGAAATTCTTTGAATGCAAAAAATAAGAAGCAACAACTACATTCATAAATATTTCGACATATAAAATGATAACACCACAGATATTTAAAGAGCAGGGCGGTAATCCCCGTTTGACGCTCTACATTCCAGCTCCTACATTTTGGTAGCTCCGAATTGACTTCGTAACGTAGAATGCTTTTAAGACTTCTCTTGACAAAAGATGGCTCATAATTTTTAATTGCCTTTTTCTAGAAGCCAGCCCTGTTTTTTTAGTCTGATCTTTCAATCAAAAATCAGGAAAAAGTTCTAACACGCAGTCAGATCTTTTTATCCAGATTCTCGTGACTAGCATACGATTCTGTATTTATGTCTTGCTTACGTGTGACTCTATTATTTGTGATTGCTGATAATTCTAACACTGTAAAAAATTCCGGATCAAATTACACTAAGTTGTTGCCGTGAAATCCATTTTAACCATAACTTGTTACGAAACAAAATATCTGATATACTGTAATTTTTAAAGTAATAATTATCGTAAAATCACTGAATCACTCTCAATAAATAAATATTAATATAAAAATAGCGGTATAATATTTCACAGTAAAATACATTACGGATGATGCCGGTATTTTATACCATAATTTAATTCGAAATTTTTAAAGTGTACAACACTCCTTGTGTTTCCATCTTTATATAATTTTTTTAAAAAAATTTTCTAGTATATAAATCAATAGATTTGAGAAAATTTATTAATGCTTCATAATCTTAAGATGTAGTTCTTTCTGAAGAAATTAAACTAAGTTTGATAGTGTTTACCTTGAAGCTAATGTAAAATTAATTTAATATCTCTTCTTTGTTTATTCTTGTTTTAAAATTTGAAAAGTGAAAGATTTATTTTAACAAAAATTACAAACTTACGGAATACTATTCTTCTTACACTTATTAAAAACAGGAAGATTCTCTTCACATTTACGTAAGCATAGGTGCTATATGAAATCGAATATTTTAACCAATACCAAAATATTTATTTCCAAATAGTCTGTAAATAATAAGAAAATGTTTTTCCCTCAATTTTGTGTGTTCACCAAAAATAATCAATAAGTATCCTTCCACCCCCTCGAACAAACTCAACTGTCAAAGGGGTGGAGATGAAGAAGGAAAATTCAAAATATGGTTTAAAATTCCAATATTTAATTTCAACAAATACACTGATGGATATTCACTCTATTTAGCAGTATATTTCTTTACATGTAAATTACAAGGACGTCAGCCAAATAAAACTTGGGATATAAAGCGTGTGTTTCACTGTAAAAAATTCCAGAACAAATTACAGTATAAGGTACCGGCGCCCATGGTACTGGTATTTTTGACCTTAAAAACCATTTTTACTGGAACATATTACGGAATAAAGAATCTGACACACCTTAATTTTAACAGTAATAATAACAGTAAAATCATTGAATTATTCCAATTAAATAAACATTACTCTTATATACTACGGTATAACATTTTAAGGTAAAAACGGATTAATGAATTTTAAAGATAAAATAGATTTTACGGAAGCTGCAGTCAAAATGCCAACACTTTATAATGTAATTTTATTTGGAATTTTTAACGGTTCATTTTATATTCTCCTTCAATTTCAAATCCACTAAATACAGATCTAATTAGCAGTTTTTGAAAGGTAGTTAAATAGTACACATTTTCGTCAAATATCTCTTTTTGTTGTATTTGCATTATAATAATTTCTTCAAATTATCCAAAATGTTTTTCATCATTTTAAACTCCAATAAAAATAAATATTTATAAACAAACATAGGTGTTACAGGCAGTTGCTTTAAAGTTTGAAATCCTTTTTTATAGAAGTTCTAAAGATTTTCAAGTGATGTATTTCTAATGTAATAAAGTCATTCTTTTATTTTCCACATATTTTTAAATGTATTGTGCTTTAAAATAATAATGATTCAAAATTTGTAAAGTACAAAACATATGAAGAAAGCACAAATAAAAAATAGAACCTAAAATTCGAAATGGCGAGAGCAAAAACCTTTTAATGCTATCATACAATCTTTAATAAAAAGAAATTCGTAAATTATAAACGTTTATTTCAACTTTCAATTTTTTGAAGATATTTTGATGCAATTTCGAATTCGGAACACAAAATAGTATGAATTTTTTTAGTACTGCTCAAACTTCCAAACTGAAAAATGAAACTTTTCCAAAAAAGAGTCAAAATCGCTTACCGAATATTAAGTAGCTCCATGTTGACTTCGTAGTAATCATTCATACCATTTCAACTTTAGATCAGGAAGATAAAATAATAGATTAGACAGCTGGCTTTCTGGAAATAATGTTTGCAGATGTAAAGTGAACACAAAAATACGGGGAAGCTAGAAGTTTATGTTCTTTTCATGGCCGCTATCTTAATTTACTTGATTGCTGAGCAGCATCAAAGTTATTTGTTCAAATAGTTTTATTGAAGTCAATTTCAGGAACAACGTTCAAATAAGTCTTGATGGGATTCATAAAAAATAAAAGAAAGCTTTCAGAACGCTCTTCTGTTTTAACAAAAAAAAAAGTGTTTCCTAGTTGGTTTAAAATTCTGTTGAATTTAGTGAATCATCCATATTTACCAAAATCTAAATAGATTAGTTTTAAAAATTTGTATCTAAAGTAAATGAAAATATTTTATTCTACTAACTATGGTTCCTTCTTAAGAGCTCAAAAATTGTTTGATAGTTGGGAAGCGCAGAAAATTCCGGATTTAAATTTGGGTGCCTAAAATTATTTGAACTGCGTATTGTAGGTAAGCTTGAAAAAATAAAAAATATTCCGTATTTTCATCTTAACGACAGAAAATCATTTATATTGTGGATTGTGATTAGTCTTGAAAAAATAAGTTCTGGAGTTAATAAGTTTTTAAATATAGGCTATTTTTGCGTAATAAAGGCATTTTGAATAAAAATGTATTGAAAATGTAGTACTACATGTTTGATAGTGATAATACATATGACTAATTCTTTGTTGTATGAACATTGGACATGCTGTCAAAAGAAAACTGAACATGAAGTTCTTAAAACAACCATCAAAATAATACAAATATTAGGTTTTTGATGTATTTTTAGGATAGATATTTTTAATTTAAATTAATTTGAAAAAAAAACAGAAAAAACTGAAAAACAATTGAAATGAAAGAAAACAAACAAATTAATTTGAGAAAAATATGCATATTACGTTGATACATATTTCGTAGATAATAATAAAAATTACAAATTAAATATACTTGTTTTCGTTATTCAGTTTTATACAATCAAAGGATTATATTAGTTTCAAAATAAAAAAAGTGTTTAAGTTTACAGTTCTATGCTGAAAGTCGGGAATGGTTATTTTTTCTTAAAATAATTTCAGATAAATTCGAAAAAAATTACGACAAAAAATCTTAAAAGAGCTAAACAAGGAAAATAAAATCGAGTTTTGTGAAATTTTTAAGATTGGAAATTTCTGATTCCAAGGAAATTCTTTCACCAATAACAATAGTAGAGCATTTTTGAAACATCAGGATATTCGAGTTTAATTGAAAACATTTAACAACGCGGAGAGAAAAAAAATTCTGGTAAAATTACAGTACTGTATGGAAAGGACGATTCTGGTGCGAAAAAGGTAGCTCTAGATAAAAAAAAAATTAAAATATACGGTATTTAACTCATTAATTTGGTGGTTTTTCCATTCATATGCTAACGGTTTTCCGGAAATTCTGGTTTTCAAAATTATAGTTTCTACTGCCGCACATGTTGTGAAAAAATATGGAGCCTGAAAAATAAATTTAACCGAATAAATGGTTTTTATGCCATGCTCTAAGGCCTAAACAAATTTTATCATTAAATTTTATCAAATGTTATAAAACCCTATTTTATTACTAATTTTACCAAAATTATTACCAACGAGCTTCGATAAAATTAACCAAGCATTTTAAAGCTCCCATGAAACCAGAAACACGGTAAATTTTACCTTATTCTGGTAGTTTTGGCAATACTTTTTCTTTGAGATTTTAAATTTAGTTTATTATTTTAAATTGAAAAATAATAAGATTCCTTAAAAATAAAGTGAAATTAAGAGATTATTTGTCGAATGAAACATTACCTCAGCCTCTTGTACGTAGATTGAAAATATGGAATGTTTTTTATTCTTGATGATTGGAATGATTGGAAATGATTGGGGATGATTGGAAACATTGTGAGTTAAAACGTTCCATAAGCTGTTAACAAGTTAAATCATGTCTTAGTGTGAATGGTTTAAAGGACCAATGACGTCAGCAGAAAATCTAATTAATTGAAATAGTGACGTTGAGTAGAAATAATTGCTTTCTAGGAATTTGGTATTGTATTTGTCCCCGATAGAAAATTAAGGAGAGGAAAAATGCAAAATAATTTCCGAATAATACACTTGGAATCAAAAATAAAATAAGCAAGAACTCTGAAGTTTTAGTTGGGTAGAAATAGATACTTTCTAGAAATTTGGCATTGTATTTGAGGAAAAATGCAAAATAATTTCTGAAAAATACGCTTAGAATCAAAAATAAAATAAACAAGAACTCTGAAGTCTTATTTTTCAATTTATTTCAATGTAAATTTTTTATGACCGCATAAGGAACAATTCCAAATTTAGTATATATTTAATAAACAAATAATTATAATTTTAGGAAATAAAGCATATTTTAAAAATATTTTCTGAAGAGTTTATAAAAAAAATCATGGTTTAAAAAAAACCGATTTAAATAAAATAAATTGACTTTTTTCAAAAATAGAAATCTAATAAATAAGATATCGTGTTTCTTGTAGCTTTTATGATTAGTCAAAGCAGTAAAAACATTAAGTAAGTGTATTTTACTGGAAAAATATCATACAATTCTCGTGAGATCGAATTCCACGTTCAGCTACTTTAATTAAAGGATTAACGTATCTATCCTTTATTTTCAGTGTTGTCTATCCCATAAACTCGCTCAGCTCAATTTGTTTTCTTATTTAGATATTTAATTCCATGGAAACGATGCTGCAAGAAAAAATAGCTGTTATTTTTATGCCTTAGTAAGAATTTTCGATGAAAAAAAATTTTTTTAAGCTCTTAAGACCTGAATGCATTTTTTTGTTTAAGGGTCTTATCTTAAGAAAATGAGCTTAGAAAAGCAGTTAAAATTCTTTTTTAAATCTTACCAATATTTTAATAAATTATAACAGAAAAATAAAGGGCTGTAGGAATCAGATATAGTTTCGAGTTAATCACTTTATATAGTTTTGTTTTCTTAACTTAAAATTTTTGAAAAAATATATTTTTTAGCATCTAAAATCTAAAATAAAAGCTGAAAATAGTTTGAAGCTTAATCTTAAATGTTATAAACCATTTATTTTCTCGACGATTGTTGTGCTGACTTTGTGTGTTTCACAGTGATATTTTCTTTAAATATTATTTTAAAATCTTTTATGTTAAATTCAGGATTATTTAATGCTTTTCTTAAATCTGTATAAAGATAAAACAAAACTAAAATGAAACAAAGAAAAATGAGGACACCTTTCTAAATTTATTATTTTTATGAATGTAATGTTTATAGTTAATTCAATAATGTTATTAAGCACAACCCAAACTGTAAAGCTAAAGTCTTGCAATATCCAGAAATATTATTGCATGCTCGTATTTTCTTTTATAAAATCAATCATAAATGAAAAGTATTATTTATAGGCTGCTGTAAAGAGTTTTAAGAAACAAAATGAAAGCTATAAAAATTAGATTCTCAAAATTCACTAAATTTTCCTTCTTATTGACAGAAACCTTTCCAGGAAAATGATCCGAGCAAACATTTCATCAATAATTATCTTATTTGAGGACGCGAATTAGAAAGAGGATTAATGCAGAACTAATTTCAATTAATACAATTAATTAAGAAACATATTAACTAAGAATAGTGGAATTGAAAATTAAGCATTCATGGCCGGGAATTGTACCAGGGAAAATAATAAACAAACAGGTGCACTAATACTTAAAACGTCCCTTCATAGAATGGAAATGGCTTTATAATCAGATAAAGAATGCTGCAGAACTTCCAGAGTGCATTGAGATGACTCACGAGTCTGGAAGCAGTTCTGTCAAAATAATTCTTTTGATTTGCAGCAGACAGTAGCAGGCAGTAACCCCCTGTTCTGAAATTAGTCTATGCGAAAACCCCGTTTCTGGTTACCCTGTTTTGCTCTTTGATTACAATGACGTCACATTCCGGGTACCTCAACTTTCATTTACAGTTATGTGATTAGCTCTTGGTATATTTTTCTGCATGATGTTAGCGACGCTGAATTTTTTGGAGTACGCTCGAATTTTTTCAACTCTTGAAAAGTGAACAATTGTTGATTAATTGACTTTTTGACCGATCCAGTTCATAGTGTTAACGTAGTTTCATTATTCTTTATTTATTAATAATTCTTTTAATAATATTTAAAACAATTAAAAAAGAACTACAATAAAAAAAGTTAAAATTTTAAAGAATAATCTAATACAGTTCACGATTTCTCGAAATTAGGGAACATTCTTACTGAATCTAGTTTGATTGTTCTACTTCAAATGCCCCAATCAGATAATCAAATTTTATATGTATATTTCATATGAATTCTTATCTTAATGAAAAAGTTAGAGTAAAAAATTACACAGCAACATTAGAAAATGTTTAGTATAAAAAAGAAAAGTTAGTTTTAAAAAGAATTTTAATTCAATACAAAATTGTTTGTTTATAAAGGAAAAAAGAAGTCTGTAAGAAGTTTGAAGCAAGAAGGAAGTTTGTTTGTAAGAGAAGAATGGGATGTATCAACTCTTCTTCTAGCATTCAATCCGATTAAACTTTTTTTGGCTTTTTCGAACGGCAGTGAAATCTTGGAACGGGCTCCAAGTACTCCAGGTCAGGAAATTGATCCGTTGGTATATTTTCAAATCTCCAAATATATAAGAGGATCCAGTTGTAAGCTTTTACCAATTGTTTGTTTCGTTGTATAAAACATTTTTTTGAGGGAGTTGATATCATTCACTTAAATTATATGTACTAAACAGAAATGTGTCAGCTTATGCTTGCGCCACCACCTTCTACATCCAATCATTTCCTTGATGATTCTCTTAAGATACATTATCAAAAATAAATAATTTTGCTCAGCAATAAATTTTAAAATTGCATTTTAAATTAAAAGATGTATTGTTTATTACAAATTTTGTTAGTGCACAATCGTTTACCAAATAGGCTGGTATATTAAATATAATATCTGCATGCCTCACATTTCGCATGAAGCTGATCGAATCTCTTAATCATTCAATAAATCTCTTTAACTGCAATTTATAATAATGCAATTTGCACCAGAAATTAACAGTTGCAAAAAGGTAAATAAATT